TAGTCAAGGTAACAAGGCGAGCTGCTGAGTTCTGTACAAGCTGAAGTCTATTAATCAGATACTTTGGGAGACCGTACAGTAGGGCGTTACAATAGTCCAAACGCGATGTTTTGTAAGCGTGAACAATAGTCTCAGTAGTACTCTGGGATAGGTATCGCCTAATTTTAGCTATACCACGAATGCGGAAAAATGCGCTGTTGCAGGTTATTTTAACGTGTTCTTTGAAATCCAAACATTGATCGAATGCAACTCCTAAATTCCTGCCCTGTTTTCTAGACTTGATTACTTCATCACCAACTCGTATATAGTCGAGGGGTGGTCGTGGACGATATTTAGAACTAATAACCAAAAGTTCAGTCTTATCCCGATTTAACTTAAGTTTGTTGCGCAGCATCCAGTCCCCAATCAGTACAGAGACTGACACTGACTCAAACGTTCTCCCATGTTCACATCAGACTATGTAAATCTCAAGCGAGCCATTTACTATTCCACTGTTATATACAGTTGCCGTGTTAGCCTTCATTAGTGTTTTAAACTGGCTGTGATATTATAGTTATTTTCGTGTCCACATACCTCATGTCGCGATGTTTCTTTATGATCACACAAACGAGGCAATTTCCAACAATGTCTACGATAACAAGTACGGAATGTACCGTCGCTATGGCAATGCCAGATGATTCGATCATAGTTGAATGTTGTTGATGATATTGCGCAGTCGTTAGGTCTGCTGGGTTTAATGAAGAGATAAGGAAGAATAAATTCCTAATATAGTATAGAGTGTACCGTTGCTATGGCAATACCAGATGATTGAAGCATGACTGAGTGTTGTCGATGTTACACAGTCGCGAGGCCTGCTAGGTTTAATGAAGAGATAAGGAATAATGAATTCCTGACAGCTAAGTTAAACACTGGTTTAATGCGAGAAGTCGTAAAAGTGGAGAGAAAACATAATACATTTATAAGATCATATGCCACCTTATGGTTTGATAATTTTCTAACCACGTAACTTAGTAAATAGGCACATCAGTTTTACGACGTACACTACATTGTTTTTGTGTCAGTTACAGGCGCACGTGTTTCAAAAAATATGCAGGCGTTTTCAAAGGGAGTGCGAATTATCGATATCAGCTCAGCTAGCGAGTGAGTAGATTTGCCGCCATGTGGCATTATCTCACTCCAAGAGATTATCAAGGTAAGAAAGTGAATCCCCCATATAGGCCTTATATCCAAGACATTATACCCAGTTCTTCCGAGGATAATACTCGCGCGTTGCGTGGATGTTTTCGTGGAGGATCTGTTTATGTCATTTCGCTTCGTTTCAAAGCAAAGGAAAACCTCCAAGGCCGTGGGGATGTCTTCTTTGATATTTTGACTACTGGGAAGGGAGCTTCGGCTCTCGGTATGTTTTAATACATGTCGAAACTTTAATAGGAGTTAAAAAAGAGACGGATGTTCCCTGCACAAAACAATAACAACTGAATGAGAGGCGGAGAAATGTTTAGACAAACGAGTGCAAAACAAACAAACGCCCAAACACAAGCTAGGCAACTGAACAAACAGATAGTCGATTCGAAAGTACAAGGCAAATGCTCGCTGCCCAAGCAGCAAAAAGCAGTTTAAGGAGCAACGGCATCAACGCCAAAGGCAACGTCGATTGAAAAACGACTTAATATTCAACCCAAGCATCTCGCGAAAATTTAGATTCATTCAGTTTGTCTATCCTGTCAGAAATATCCGAAACAGAATATTTAAGACAGCTTCAAAATTCGAAAAGGAAATTTTAAAAATTGGCCGTCGTATGGTTCACGCTCTCTCCAATATGCAGAACGTGGCTATTTAACGTTGTTGTTTTGTGACCTTTTGTAAACAACGGCAAAGAAATGAACAAAGAATTAGAACGCACGCTTACACACCCATTGTACTTGTTGCCTTTGCCGTTAAAGTTTGCTTAATTAAACTCCCTAAAAGCGAATAAACGGCCAAATAATGAACAGCCAAACAAGCACAGAACAAACGAAAGCCTGGCCGAACAAAAAGACGGCTGAGAACGCAGAAAACATATCTGCTATGAAACAAAATCAAAACGCATACCATGACGTTCCCGCCATTTCGTCTCAGGTAGTCTGTCCACACATCGCGCGAGTAACATCCTCGGAAGAACTGGGTGCCATGTCTAAAAATAACTTAAGGCCTATATGGGGGATTCACTCTCTTACCTTGATAATCTCGAGCTCACTCTTTTAAGAGTATTAAAATACTCCCTCTCTTCCCAAGCCCAAAACAAGATGGCGCTTGCCTCACCAAAATGCACTCCCTCGCTCGCTAAAGGCAGAACTCGTCTAACATGCAGGCGGCTAGTATTTAATATATAGATTTAGCCAGGCCTAAAAGCGAAGTTCCTGATTGCAATAACTGATCATGAAGGAAAAAGACAATTATTTTTTCTTGGATCAGAAACTCAAAAAATTGATCAATTGTGAGCATGTAATTGTCCAGCGTGTGGTTTTGCTATTATTTTCCGGTTAAGTTTTGACAAACTATACCTAATTAGCCTAACCAAGATTGTACAAATTATGTATGTAATATATCAGGGACTTTCCAAGAGAGGATTGTGCAAGGAATATGTCAGGAAAAAAGTCGACAACGCGCCAGGGGTTTAAATTTACGCCGAAATTTTGTCTTTGTGAGTACTTCCTCCTTCTCCCCCAGACAAACAAAAACAACAACGACAACGAAAAAGAAAAGTCCTCCAGGTGGCAGATTTAAACGAGCGCTCATAAAAAAAAAAAAAAAAAAAAAAAAAAAAAAAAAAA